AGTGTGTGTGTGTGTGTGTGAGTGAGCGAGAGAGGATGGACAGATAGGACTTAGATCTCTTAAGAGATTTGGAACCCAATTCCCATTAAAATTGAAGCCTTGAGGCAGCCTGGAAAATCTGTTTATATACACACACCTGTGCAGTCGGATACATGGTGGTGGTGTATATGTGAGCAGTTATATTTGTGGTGCACCTTTGATCACCTGACCTGGACTCTGCCCACCAGTCCATCTATCCAGCGCTACTTCTCACATCCCAGACCTTAGAGCAGCTTCAAATACAGCCCCTTTCCCTCCCTCCATCCCCCTGCTTAAATCAACTTGCCATAAAAAAGCTTTTCTCTTCTTCCTCAAATGTATAATGTTTCCCTTCTTCCACCTGCAATGAACTATAAACACTGCTCCAGCGGGCGGCATGGGCCATCTTCAGTCCTGGGCTAGTGGTGGGTTCCCATAGTCACACAGCCATTGCTTTTCTGTTGTTTTCCTCGAGTGGAATATGGCAGGGACTTTTAGCGAGAGGCTGACTGAGAGGCGTCAGAGATTAGCAGCAGCATCCTTCCCATGGAAAGTATCTGCAAGTTTTTAAGCTGCAGAGACACACACAGATTCTGAGTGCCGTTCAGTTCCAGCATTCATGGTGCTCTGAGTGAAACAGCTACTGGAATATTGCGGAGGTGTACGTGTGCTTTGTGTGGTGTTATTACACACACACACTAAGGCTCTATTGAATCCATTGGCTTTCTCTCTTTGGCTGCTCAGTGAGGCCTTTAAGTCCCACATGCATGTTTTCTGTTGATGTTCCTGGGCGAAGGCTGGCTAGCAAGACTCCTGGGGTTGTAATTTACAAGCCGCTGGCCATCAGTTATTACAAGGTGGATGCCTTACTTTGCCATTGCTCTGAGCGTGGACGTTTCTGACGCTGCAGATGTTGTCTAAAGAAGGTACAAGTGAGAGGCTAAGGGATATTTGACAACTCTGTCTAACATGTTGACAGATGCCAGGCATGGTTGGGGTGTGCTTGGTTCTAAAATTTAGTCACCACTGGGGGGTGGGTTCGGATTCTGGGGGAATGAGCTGTGATACTGCCGGGCCAAATTGTCTTCTCAGTTACAGTGATGTAAATCTGGACTAACTCTCTTCAGAAAGCAGAGCCCAGCTTCTCCACACCTGTGAAGGCAGCTGTAAAGTGCTTGGGGGAGTCTGGAGCCATGGTGCCAAGATACTATGGTGATAGATGTAAATACGTTAGCTGGGTCAGTGAGGATCACATGTTGGAGGCTAGAGCAAATGGTAATTGCTGGGTTCACCTGTAGAGAAATCTACTGAAGCTAATCAGATCTGCTCTTCACCCCCAATCCACCCCGGCAGAGTGACTGTAGGGAATAGGGAAACCCCGTGTCTTAAGGGGTCTGATCGGGGGGGGGGGGGGAGACAGAACAGACATTTTTTTTCTTTAAACCACCAGTAGGTCTCCAATTGCACCAGTATAACCAGCAACCTAGACCTGGTCTCTGGTGACATGGTGCTTTCGGGAGAAGAGGAAGCCCTGGGGAGATGGGAGTGACCTCTTCTGAAGCAGCGAGGGGAGCTGAATGTTTGTTCTCCAGTGCTGTGGAGTGCTAGAGAAATGACGCCTGCATTACGGCCCTATAGATTTCAGAGGGGAAGTATGTAAATCCCATTGTCTGGAGGAAGAACGCTCACCAGGTACACAGCCAGGCCTCCCTCCAGCTCTCACCTTGTTCTTTGGTCAGTCCGAGGCATTTTGGTGGCACTTGTCACCCTAATGTCTGAAAGCTTTACAAATCATTCCCGCCCCGTTTTACAGATGAGGAAACCGAGCCCTGCAGAAGCTAAAGCCAGTGGTTTCCAACGTTGGTTCTCATTGGGCCGACTCCATTCCCTGGGTGCTGACGTGCTGGGCACCCAAAAGTGAAAGCAGCCCAGCTGAGCGGGAGTCGTTGGAAAACTTTGGCTACGGCTGTGCCCAAGCTCCCGCTGGGAGCCTCCCCACTCCCAGTCCTGTGCCTCAAATACAAGGTTTCTCCCCCCTCCCTTTGGAGCCAGCCCCGATCCTTCCGCCTAGCACCACGCCTCCAAAGCCCACAGTGCTACAGGCCGTATTCCCTAGAACCCCACCCCTGGGCACGGTCGTTTACAGCAGTGCGAAATAAGTGCAATGGGGCGGACAGAGCTCCTCAGTCAGCCGAGGAACCATTTACCCTGGGGGCAATAGCTCCACAAGGTGCATAGCCATGGAGGATCTGGCCCCGGGATTTGAACTCGCATAGGTTAGCGTTCTGCTGGTGCAAAGCAGAGTTCTGCCCAGTCGCTTCCATCAGATGAATGTGCCCTTCATTTGTTTTGAACCAGAATCTTGATGTATTCCCCTCTCCGCTCTGTTCAATTTACATTTAACACCTGCTCAGGGGTGAAATTCTGCCCGCAGTTACCGATATGCAACCCCATTGCCTTCAGAGAGGGTAATCGACGTCTGGGCTCACGCGTGTAAGCAATATCTCTCTCCTCCCCCCCCCCCCGTCTTTTCAAACACAGGACAGAGAACAAGAAGTTTCACACACACAAACACCCCCCCCCCGCAGCCCTTTAGCTTGCTGCTGGCCAGGTGACAAGGACCCCGTTTTATCTCTGGCCTGTCTGAGGTATGCTGCTATATGCCATTTTTATAAGGAGGAAGTAAATATTAACCAAGGCTTTGCAACAACAAAAATAAAATCTACTATTGATGCTCCTGGGATTAAAACCAAGAGGAACATGTCACATTAAAATGAAAGATGGTGTCATGATTGCTAGGCTTGAGGCTTTGTTAGGTGCAGGTTTAGTGTTACAGCACTGGCAGTGCACCAGCTGGGTTGGGGGTGCTGAATATCTCGTGGGTAGCGTGGGAGTTATTGGTATGGAAAGAAAGTAGCGGTGGGGAGAGAGAGGTCTGCTTCAACATCTCTCTCCTGATGAATATTTGCAGGACTTCTCCCGCAGAAACCTGTACCGCAGCTTTATCCAGAGCTTGCTAGCCACTTGCGTTGTGTAGCAACGCTGAGTCCTGTCTACACGCAGAAACGGCACCTCTTTGACTTACGTCGTTTTTTTTTAAATCAATGGAAATGGTGGGAACTCGCTTCTTTCAGTGTCAACGGGACTTACAGCGGTTTAGTTTACACCTGCTCCCGGTTGACTTAGACCAATGAAAATAAGCCTCCTGGTTTTAAACGCAATAGGAGTGTACCCGTGGCCGTTAGCACCAGTTTGGTTTAAAAAAATCGCACCTTAGGGTTAAACCAATGCAGCTTACTGGTGTGGACGTGCTCCGAGTGGCAGAAAAGGGAAGGAGATGGACAGAGTTGGCTCGTTGTAAAGTGTGCCCAGAAGTCTCGTCTAAGAGCAAAACCTTTTGGAAAGTTAAATGCTTGGCTACTTCACGCTGTACAAACCATGGGGCTGAGCTTCTGCTCCTGGGAACAACTGTTTAGTTAAGGCCAACTTTTCCCCAGAAGATGCCCCGGATGGGGGGGGGGTGCCTCATTTTTCTGGGGTCCCCACTTGCTCCTGGCTTTCTGAACGGCTGAGCACCCACAACTGCAGCTGATGTCGCTGGGTGCTGAAAGTCGGCCTGGCCCCAAGAACTGAGGTCCCACTTTTAAAAAGGTTGGGCCTTAATGAGGATGACTTAATGAAGCTCCGTTTGTCCCCCAGACACGCTCGAGGCAAGAGAAGCTGTCCATGAAATGGTTTGGGCCTGATCCAGGACCCGACTCAGCCCAAACGCCTATGATGTGAAAGCAGTGGGATGTCCTGCCGCCCCGGGGGTGAGAATCTTCAGCCTTGGGGAACTCGGCGCCTCAACCTGGGTGGGGGGAGGGTTCCAGCGAAACCTCCCCCTGCCAGGTGGGTGCAGCCTCCAAAGGCTATTTGGAGTAAGTGGGAGCATCTTGTGCAGCTGCAAGGGGGTGGGGTGGGGGAGCCAATAGGA